GTTCTCAACAGAATAGACAATCTGCATACCTTTGAGTAGTCCATACCACCATAAATGTCCCCAACAAGCATGTCTATAGCACCATTGTCTCCCCGTTGACTCAGCTCTAACAACTCATCGAAACTGATAAGGGAATGAATTAGTCAAAGACCTGGACAAACTTTCTAGAAAGAGATGAGATGAAAAATAGAAAGCAACAAAAAGTTAATCAGAAGGAAAAAAAAAACCTTTTGCACTTTGTTAACAGTTTTCCCAAGCCCCAATAAGTACCGCCACCAACATTTGTTCCACTTACCCGCTGAAATTTGCCATCTCCATCAACCTATAGCAACGCAGATTAATTGATAATTAATAAACTCAACAAGCCTCCAGAATTCAATTAACAAAAAGAAAACAAAAGAAAGAGTTACCTTAATTATACTAACACCGGACCCAATGTTAACTAGAAGATATGGGAATAATTCATTCTGGTCAATCTGCACAAACTCTTTCTGACCCTCCATGTGTGTGAAAGCTTCATGACGAATTGCCTACTAGAATCATGGTAGAACATCTAATTACCTCTTAGAGAAGTATGGTTATGATGGAGGAAAGAAGGCAAAAATGTACTAAAAGTTAATATGATTAGAGTACTTGATGGCATCCCTATATGGTACCCAGACAATTTATCAGCAAGCCATGAATGAACAATCTCATGATAATTCCAAATCACCATCTTTCTTTTCAGACGATAATATATTCAACACTTAAACGACAGAACTCCCATATTCAAGAAGAGATATGAGCAATTGAGAAATCAAATAAACACTAAATGCCAGATTTCTCGAATAAGGAAAAATCTCTAATATCACAAATAAAGTGAAACAAAAAACCAAAAATTAAAGTTTGTTTTTCTTGGTAACGTATGAACTCAACTCAATTTTACTGATAGAGGCAAAGTCAACACCCAGGAGCAGAGAATTAGAAGTTTTGAATGTTCTTACCGGAAAACTAATGGACATACAAGAAGTTCATATCATTTTCAAACAAAAATACACATCAAAAGGAGGAAAAAAACCTAATCCATAAGAAAATGTTATCTTGTATCAACACCCACCTTGAGTAGAAAATTTGCTCCAGATACTAGACAATTCATTTCGTCTTCTTTGTCAAGACTAACCCCAAGCCGTTCTTTGAAGAGGTCCGCAAACTTGTATGCCCCACCACCTGTAGCCTTCAGGCAAGAATTCATTCATTGATATTAGTATGATCCCCAAAAATACACAGAAATAATGGATTTCTAAAATACATAACAAGATCGATAAACACTTATATTACCTTGATTACGGAACTTTCATTGGTTGGGGCATCAGGATTCCAGATCCGAGCATCCATTCCTATCCACAATTTGTCTTTCTTAGAACACAGGTATATTATTTTGCTAAAAATTGACACAGTTACATAAGGATTCAAGCATAAATATCATACAAGTTCGAGAAATCTACCATGCTTGGCTATTGAATAAAACAACTGAAACAAGAGAAAAGAACATCCAGAAAAATATACCACCACGGTGAAGCTGCTTAGAGTAGATGAAGTCTAAGCACTCGTTAATCTTGTTTGTCTCAAACTTCACAAAATGAAGCCGCCCACCTAGAACAGGGTAGCTTCTCCTACTACCTTTTGATATTCCCAACCTCTCCTTCAAAGTTTTCTTCCTTTTATCATCAATTGATTGGCCTTCATGTCTTGAGAAATACACCAACTTGATGAGAGATCCTGCCATTAACCATTAAACAGCTTAAAACATCGATCTTTATAAACACACTAAAACAGTTTTTTCGAACTCAAAATTTACATGCGATCCCACACAGCCAGGTACTGATCACAAATTCACAGTTAAATTTAAAACACCAGAAATTATAGCACCAACGATCACAATAAGCAGTTCACACTGGATATAGCATGGCATGCATAATCTCCCTTTCTCTTCACCAAATCAAACATATCTTTATACATGCCATATTGGGGGAGGGGGAGATCAAACACGAGACCTCCATGCATTGGTGAACGCACTTAACCAACTGAGCTACAAGCCCCTTCCTCCAACAGATCAAACTTCTACTTTCCTTAAAAAAAATGATCACTTTAATCTAAAAAGCTAAGCAGAGAACAAAAGAAAACACAACGCATGCACTGAAAACTAACACCAGAATTACCAAAAGCTAACCAATAAAACAGAAAATTTAGAAACCAAAAACCGCAAAGACATTTCAAAAGCAAGTGATTCAAGTGAAGAATACAAATTATACCTCCAATGTCCAAAGCCAAGTGAGACAAGTCATCAGACTGATTAGGCAGAAGAATTGTGGGGTCCCTCTCTTCAAAATTCCCTTGAATGGCAGCTTTGCTGAGGTCCAACTGAGGCCGGGAACCCGACCGGTGAATCGAATTTCCGGTGGCCGGAGCCATATCCCTCTCACTACTACTTTGACCAACCTCTCCTCCTTCTGTTCTAATCACCGCATGGGACTCTAAAGTATTAATGTTTTTGTCACCACCTTCTTCCTTCTCTCTCTCTTTTATATCGCTAGTTCCAAAACCAGCCATTAATCCAAAAATTCACCCCCTCCCAACCTCTCAACTGCTTCCCCTTGGCCTATGTGTGCCCACTTTGTCCTTCTCTGTACTAAATAAACAATTAATTAATTAAAATTTGACTGAACAATTAAGAACATTGCTTTAAATTTACAAACTTTGAAGCTATTTACTGATTCAGAAGAAAACCCTTGTGACAAGATTCAATATTTCAATTAAAATTTCTGAACTTGGGGACCCAAGTGAAAAATAGGATGAAATTATCAAGCTTTTAAATGTATCTGGACCACCTCAGACAAATTTTACATCAAATGGTAAGAAGAAACATGTAAATTATGTAATTAAAAAACAAAAAGGAGAAATAAATGGACCCAGAAGATTATAAATAAATAAATAAACAATAAAAAGGTTAAAAAATTTGATTAGGTGAGAAAGTGGGAGGGAACTGATTGAACTGGAAATGTAAACAAAAAAACAAATCAAATGCGGACCTTAAAAGTGTGAAACTTTGAATCCGAGAGGAGGGAAGACAGCAACACAGTAATACGAGGATTTAGGAGGGGAGATTATGAAGGATTGGTTCTTTTCCTTGTAGGAGATGTGGGGCAGTCAGCAGCTTTTGTGTCTGTCTCCGGTTTGTGATCGGTTTTGTTTGGTTCCTCCTGCGATTTGCGGGCTGGGTGGTGTAAACTTACTCGCATAAGAAGCGCGTGAGAGTTGCGAGAGTTGCGCTGATTTCGCGCCCCGCAGCATCGATTTATGCAAGAGTTGAATTATTGGTTCATATGCCATAAACTACCATTATGACTATCAGCTCTATAAGTTCATAGTCTGTAAAAAAAAAAAAAAAAAGTGATGGTACTTCAGGGTTATTCATCTTTTTGGGGTTTGGGAAGGTTGCGGAGAATTTCATTTTCTCACATTTTATTTTTTTTTTTTGTTGGAGAGTCTCAATCCACTATTATCATTGAGGTACTTATTATGGTTCTGGCTATATAAGTTTACCTTGTTTTTTTTGGATGCCATTTACCAAGTCTTCTACTTCTTAATTTAAATAACATTAGTATATGGGCACACACAAAGTGTGTGAGAAATTTTTTTTATTTTTATTTTTGAAATAGAAGGAGAGAGAGGAAGAGAGTAATAAAGAATGTGGGAGTACGATTTTTTTTTTTTGTTAAATTAGATATATGTTATAATTACATATATGTAAGGCTTTGGAAAAAAAAAAACAAAATTTAGTTGTGTAAAATTATATTTCTCTTCCATATTTCTTATTCATATTCTGTTTTAATTAGAAGGTTAAACTAGTAAATTCATAGGATTTTAGTTGACAATAAGTGTTTTATTAATTAGTAAAGATAACCATGACATCCTGCTTTTTTTTTTTTTTTCAAAAGTCAAAGATTCTAACAGTTAGATAATAGACAACATCGATTAATTTTCTCATATATGAGTTCTTATTATCTTGTTCAGTTAGCTTTGTTCGTAAAAATCTATATAGTATATTTTTGTTTGAGTTATTAGCATATAGCCCATTTTTCAACCAAAACAAAAATCAATAAATTTGTAAATTGTAACATTGTAGAGGCAAGACTCAGAAATTGTCAGGTTCCAACAGGATCATTGGCGATACAATATTGGAGGAAACTGAAAAGTTCTAACTTCAAACCAGGGGCGGCTTTGATCCAAAAAATATTAGGGTGTTCATATTCAGATATGATTATATTCATTTATGATTTTGTAAGCTTTTAAATACTTACCATATTCAGCTCTCTTTCAAAAACGTTATCACCAGCAGCAATTGTTTGCGATCATTGCTGTTATGTGGGCTTTAGGGAAAGCAATAATTTTAGTGATTCATTTCAGTTAAATGACTTAAGCTACTGAGTTTTTAAAACTTCGAAGTACGGCACTGAAATGTTTAAGAACTAAAATCTCATGACCTACTTAAAAAACACCCAAAAAAACTTAAGGAAAACTAATGAAAATGGTTTGAAAACTTTGAATTTTAATGATAAAGACAAAATAAAGAGTAAAGTGAATAGTATCAAAACTGATTTTTTAATGTGAAAATATGATTTTTCATTAAAATGAACAGTATCATAAGTTTTTCGTTAAAGTTTCCAAAAACTTAAGGTACAAAAACCCTTTTTTATCCTTCTTTTTTTTGGTAATCCCATTTTTTATCCTTCCATTTATAAAACATGTAAATGTTTGGATCACTTCCATCTATTCTGGCGCTTGGCGTATTGGTTCGGCAGATTCACTCCAACAAAGAAGAGAGGACAACCTACTAACATTTTCACCACCAAACGCCGCTTCACCAATCCACCTTCGTCGCAGGACCCAGAAAATAGAGACTCGACTGCGTTTTGGAGTTCGAATAAGCTGGAGGAGTATGAACATGTTAACGATTCATATGAACACGTTAAATGCCGCCTTCATATATTTAATTTACATTATACATAAAAAATAAACTTGTTTGTTCATACAGCCGCAATTCCACACGAAAAGAAAACAAAGGGTTCGAGGAACGCTAATCTGTACCACCATTATTATAACATCTAGTAAACAACCAAGAGGTGGAAAACTATACCCTATACATTTCAGCATCATTTCAAATGAGAGAAGAATCAAGCATTGACAGCCTTCTCCGCAGGAGATGGCTCTGTACCGCCAGTTTTTTTGGTTTGCTTGGCTTGATAGTCTTTAACAGCTGCCTTAATGGCATCCTCGGCGAGCATGCTGCAGTGAAGCTTCACTGGAGGAAGTGAAAGATGTTTTGCAATCTCTCTGCAACGACATTCAGAAGAACCAATTGAAACAATGAGCAAAAATGTGTGAAGAGAATGACACATACTATCAAGGCTTCCAGCAGAACAAGTTCTGAGCAACAGCAAACCAGACCTCAGACAGATAACATAAATCACTAAGGCAAAGGCCGGTAAGAGGACGGTTAGCTGGCAAAAGGGGCACCAAACAAGGCTATTCGACTAAGCAGGACAAAGGAAACACGGTAAAAATCCCACCTTTTGTGCATAGTATCGAATCAAAGTTCACAATAAACACTTACGAACCAAATTAGCATACAATTGCCATTGACAAGTATTATACATGTAAATATAAGTACTGAAAGAGTAAAACCAGCATGATGCAAACCAAAAATACGCACTCAACTAGATATCCAAGACCATAATGTTGACAACAATATCAGCGAAATATGAACAAAAGAAATTCGATAAGAATATAGGAGGAAAAGCAGAACTCACGTGTTCTTAATCGTCAAGACTTCCTCCATTTGTTTCCCCTTCACCCATTCCGTAGCTGAAAGAAGATACAAACCCAGCATTAGACAAATTAAATCGAAGCTATCTGTCCAGAAAGAGTCATATTCACCAAATTACGACAAAAAACTATGCAAGGTAAGCATCATATGCCATGATACAGTAACAATTATTCATCTTAAACCTATAAAAATGTTACAATTCCAAATTTATTGGCTTCAAAGAAAGCGGCAACACAACGGATTTGTTTCAACGGGCGAAAATCTCCCATTACCCCAAAGTGTGCATGCAATTGATTGATTACTGATACAGGTACTAGGATGAAATGCAACCATGCAGGAGATAATCAAATTAATCATACATCAACAAAATGTCTTATACGAATTGCAATGAAATACGAAAACTCGGGAAAATGTATGAATTCAATCTAAACGCCTGGAAATTTTAATTGGCAACCCAACAGAACAAGTTATAAGCTCAAAATTTACACATGCTTATGCGTACCTCAAACTAAACCAACAAAGCACCAAATAATTCAGTCAATAGACACTACAGTCCTTAGGATGCTTCAAATTCCGATTGCTATTAAAAAGATTCATTCTTTGTCCGCCCCAAAATTTTCTAGGCAACCAAATAGTCAATAACATAAACAAATATCTGAATATATACACATATATACGTGACTAACCGACAGAAGAAGAAGCAATGGCCGATCCACACCCAAAGGTCTTGAAGCAAGCATCAACAATCTTTCCCGTACCGTCATCGACCTTAATCTGGAGCTTCATCACGTCGCCACAGGCTGGAGCGCCAACGAGCCCCGTGCCGATCGTCGGATCATTCTTGTCGAACGTTCCGACGTTGCGGGGGTTGTCGTAGTGGTCCACCACCCTCTCGTGGTACATACGTGGCAGGCTTAGGACCGCCGGTGACTGAGCCTCCGGCGACCCCAGACGGCCGCCTTGGAGAACCCTCTTCGCCGCAAGTCTCAACATTTTTGCTTCGCGGTTGCAAAATTTTCAGGGTGAAATATCCGGTTTTTGTGAACGAAGACGGAGAGAAATTGGTTAATTACAAAAGACTACGATATTTGTAGATTCCGATTTTGGAAGGCGGTTTGGTTGTGGGCACGTGGACGGCGGAGATTGTTTTAAAATGTGATATGACAGATGTTTAAGAAAGCAAGTTTCCCAGATTTCTGGATGAGCTGGTGGATAAGTGATAGAGGATTTTTACCGGATTCTCTTTGTAAAGATCTGGGAATTTTTTAATCATATTCGTTTATCGTACATTATGCGGTCAATTTTTGTTAAATACTGTTTATGTTCAACTTTAAATAAAAAAATTACACAATATACGATGAATAAATATGATTAAAGTATTCCTCATCCTTGCAAAGAGGAGATCCTCCTGGCAAGTGGACGGTGGAGGTTTCGCTCGGGTTGTCATAAGCCCATTTGGGCCTGTTTGGACCTTGATCCAATTATAAACGAGCCTGGGCTTTTTATATTACCATTGGAAAATAAGTGGGTCTGTGAACACCCAAAAGTGATCTTTGGGTACCCAAAGTTTTGAAGAAAATTGAATGACAGATACACCCCTTAGTATAATGACCCGAGAATCCAATTAAACGTTTCAGAATAAATAAAAAAAAAATACTAAACCAAAAGAATACTCCTAAATTTGAAAGACGAAGAAAGAGAAATTCTAGATTATTAAAAAATTGTATAAAACTATATATTTTTAATATTTTAAAGTGTTAAACAAGTATACAAGACAATTAAGGTTGAGAGTTATATTATCACATTCATCGTATCGAATTAAAAAGTGTGAATATATGGGGTTATCTATATCCAAAAGAATTTTTGACACCTCTAGCCCATGCATTAAGGTCGGTCCACCGTAGCTTAGACCAGTTCGTTTAATAAATAAGACGAGTCGACCATCTCACGTTAGCAACCTCAAGCTTAGCTTCCAATAACCAATAATTGTATTTTTTTTTTTTTAAATCCGAAATTTTATTTTTATGAACCTATGTTATTGGTATTATCATATACGAGTGAGAACTGAGAAGGATCCAGCTAGCTGGACAGATGGGTTCCTCAACGAACCTAACTTCCCCTCCATCTTGTTCTTAATGTTCATAGTGCTGGTTTCACACACTGAACTCACTCCAAAAAAAAAAAACGATTGCAGCTACATACATGTGTGTGTGTGTGTGTGTGTGTTTGCTTGGTTGATCCTAGTTAATGAGTTATTCATTCGTATCTGTAAACTATTAACTTATATTTAAAGTGAGTTTTATAAATAATATATTATGTGAGAAATTATTTGCGTAAACCCAACTTTTTCTTCTTTGCGCACTTATTTTGTGTCTTTTAATTTTCCTTTAATTTAGCCCATTAAAAAGACAGAATAATGCATGAACATCTAGAAGGTTAAGCTCGTAAACTAGTTAAGCTAGGGTTCTAGTTAATTTTGGAATTTTAGTTATTTTAGCTTTACCTTACAGTATCATTGAATAACAACTTAGAGCTCGTTTAGAAATATTTTTAAAATGACTAAAAGTATTTTTAGAGAAAATGTTTTTGGGTTCTAAAAGCATTTAAAGTGCTTCATGCAAGAAGCATTAGTTTTTTCTACAAGGATTCAATTTCATTTTTACTAAGGATTGATCGTAAAAACACTTTCACTATTTTCAATCATTTTAAAAGTAATTTCCCACGAGCCCCGTATTGGTAATACTTTGCATCACGTAAATAAACAAAATGTTCATAAAAAAAAACATATTGTTTACATTTCTGTCAACAAAATCAGTTTTAATTCGTAGGGAAAATGTCTAAATTCTGTGTTCCTAATCCAGAAAAAGAAAAACTTCGGAATAGTGGAGCGGTCATATACACGTCTTATGTTTGGATAAACTGTTCCCAACTCGAGGCGATATCATATATATCATAGTTCATCCATGTTAAAGTCGAATAGAAAATACTGTACTTTATCACAGATAGTTAATCCAAAAGTTATATTTTAAATTATCGTTTCCCCTTAAGATCGATATCCATTTGCTACTAATATTTTCTGGGTTGAGAAAACCAACCCAACCCACACTGTCCTTTCTCTATCACTCTCACCTTAATAGTATCATACATTTAGAATCCCTACTTATGTCATGGGGGGCCAATATTAGGGCATTACCTAATATGTTGAAAATGAAGCATCGATGTTCTTTTTTCTTTTACATTTTTTCTATTTTTTTTAAAACTTTGGTGGAGAGCTTCCAATTATATTGGTTAAGCATAAACAATCAACGTTCATAATTTGTACTTACACCATGAAAAGTGTTTTGCCCAAGAAAATGTCACTTTCACAGTGAGACCATTTATTTTTCTTCGTGTATAATATACATCAAAAGCAAATGGCCATTAAAAAAAAAAAGAGAAAACTCCAACAACAAATTTGATAGATTTCACTTCCAAGTTTGTAATTCTTGAGAACTATATCATCTAGAACCTCCTTCAAGTTGAATCCTTAAACCTTGTTGAATTAGTCATCCTAAAGAGCAAGGTCGATTTGTATTATCTTAACTCACCAGCCAGTACTAAGACGGAAGATTTCACTTCTTTTAGAGAGATTGTTCATGAAATGATCAATTGAGATGATACGACTTATAATTCATGCTCCCATTCTAAACTTTTTTTTTTCCTTTTCAGGACATTGTTTTCTACAACTTGAACAATTCTAAGAACATTAAAATGACCATCATTTAATCAAACTGTAATATAATTTTCAATTTAGATGATATTATGTAAAAATAATTAAAACATAGATGTTTGAACCGTTAAAATACAATACAAAGTAAGCTCTACTTACAAAACTGTCCCTCCACTAAATTATATGTCTTGAAATATGAATATTTGATCACACAAAAGACATACATAAGCTGACAAACACCCATAAACTTAAAACGCATTGGCAAGCAGGAAAACACAGACATCTTTATCGTTGAAAGCAAAGGCTATCTTTTCAATGCTTAAATCTATAATAAACTTAGGATTTATGGTAGTTAATTTAAAGATTCATGTAAGAAATTGAGACACTCGCTCAACCTTCTATGGATCTTCTCATATGTAACAAATTGAAACACTCGCTCAACCTTTCTTTTTTGGTCGAAATCATGACCACATTACATGAAAATTCTGGCTCCATCACTGCACAAAGTATTTTCTAAATGAATATACTAGAGAGATTTTCTATAAATCATATGTTTTAAACTACATGATTGTAACGGTTGACGGTTGAATTTTTTTTTTAATAATTTAACGAACGAAATCAACTATCAACCGTCACATTTATGATTTACAAAACATAATCCGAAAAGATAGTCTTTCTAGCATCACTTTTTAATAAGAGGAAAACTATTGAGGTGGAGTAGGTCAATTTTATTCGGCAAAAAACAAACTTTTGTCAAAGAGGTAAGAAAATACCATTTTATCAGTCTCTTTGTTGTATATCGGTGTTCTTTGGTGAAGAAATTCTGGTTTGTTAGCAAAGAATTGTAAAAATGTTTATTTGTACATGTTTCTCTTTTTACAGGGATGGAGAGTGGACTACTTTGCAAAAAGGGTGAACTTCCTAAAACTCAGAATCTAAATCGAGATATCTTGATGATTTGGGTAGTCAATTTTATCATATATTCTGCTCCTCCAAGTTTTAAATTCAACATCTTAGCTTCATGTCTTCCTAGACGCATAGGGTATCGTATCCCATCGAATGTGAATAATTTTAGGTAGGCTTTTTAGCTAAAATGGTCCTTGATATTTGCATAATTCCTCACTTTGGTCCCTGAGATTTCAAATCAATAGAAGTGTTCCCTGAGATTGTCCACCATCCATCATTTTGGTCATTTCGTTAAAAACTCCGTTAAGTGTCCCGGAGTTCTTGGCTGGAAGTTTAGGCAATTTTCAAAGCTTCGTAACTCAATCGTTTCTTAACCAAATTCGACCCATAATATATCAAAATGAAGATAGGAAAGTGTAGAATAAGATTATAACATTTGGAAGACCAATGGTTGCCGGAGATGGTCGGAAAATAGCCTCAAAGTTGATTGGTCCGAGGAAAAATTGGAAAACTAGCCGGAAACTGGGCAAACTTTAAATGTTCATAACTTCTTCAATACTCAACGAAATTAAGTGATTCAAAATGAAAATCATACTTCTTGACGAGAAGAATAGAATGGTACATTTTTCAGCGGCTAATTCTCCATAATTTGGTCGGATAACAGCTCGAAAGTGACTAACTTGAGACCAAGAAAGCCACTTTCGACCATTTTCCCGCCAAAACAAGGAGAGTTAGCCACTGAAAAAGATACTATTCCCTTCGTCTCATCGAGAAGTATGATTTTCGTTTTTGAATCACTTGATTACGTTGAGTATTGAAGAAGTTATGAACGTTTAAAGTTTGTCCAGTTTCCGGCGAGTTGTCCAGTTTTCCCTCGGATCAGTCAACTTTGAGGCTATTTTCTGACCATCTTCTGCAACCATTGGGCTTCCAAATAGGTATAATCTTATTCTACACTTTCCTATCTTCATTTTGATATATTATGGGTCGAATTTGGTTAAGAAACGATTGAGTTACGAAGCTTTGAAAATTGCCCAAACTTCCAGCCAAGAGCTCTGGGACACTTAACAGAGTTTTTAATGGAAGGACCAAAATGATGGATGGTGGACAATCTCAGGGACCACTTCTATTGATTTGAAATCTCAATGACCAAAATGAGGAGTTATGCAAATCTCAATGACCATTTTGGCTAAAAAGCCTTTTAGGTAAATATTTTTTAGGTAAATATTTAGCAAATCCAAGTCCATTCATGATCATTGATCACCAAAGCCATTTAAACAATATATGACTCGTTAAAAAGTGCTTTTAAAATGACTGAAAACACTTTTAGTTAAAATGTTTTTTTTATTCAATTCTTAGTAAAAATTTAAGTGAATTCTAGAAAATAACTTGAAGTACTTCTTACAAAAAGCAAATATATGGTGCTTCTTCTAAAATGCACTTAAAATGCTTC